GCTCATATTGTAAGTCTGCGCTTTGGGAGTATGTATTCACAAAGATTGCTATGCAAAACATAACAATAATGACATTATCTGTCATCAGGAATTGTTATTTAATTATAAAGATTTGCAACAGTACTTACCATTTGTCAAAATATGGATGAATATTCAAGTGAAGAATACGCTGATATGATTTTTGTGTACGGATATTGTCATGGTCGTGCTCGAGAAGCAGAAAGAGAATATCGGAGAATGTTTCCAAATCGTCGGCGTCATCCCTCTTTTGGCGTATTTATAAGAACCTTTAGAAGACTGCGACAAACAGGTTCTGTGCAAGTAAGAAAAAATCAAGAAGGTAGAGGATATCGTAATATTCAACAGTACGAGGAAAATATTATCGAACGGGTAGTTGATACTCCTGAATTGAGTGTGAGACAAATCGGACGCGAATTACAGATACCCCACGTATCTGTATGGAGGGTCCTTCATCAAGAGCTGCTACATCCATATCATTACCAGCAAGTGCAACATTTACAAGAAGGTGACAACCTTCAACGATTACAATTTTGCAACTGGATCCTCCAAAATTTGACGGAAGATCCACTCTTTTTACAAAATATTATTTGGAGCGATGAAAGCCTTTTTCCTAAAAATGGACTGAATAATTTTAGAAACTTACATCAATGGTCATTACAAAATCCCCATTTAACAAGAAGAAGGGCCTTTCAGCGCAGATTTAAGATTAATATGTGGGGAGTAATTTTTCGAAACAAATTATTTCTTTTTGAAATAAATGGTATACTGAATGGGCAAAGATATTTAGAATTGCTACAGAATTCCACACATGAAATTCTAGACGAGGTGCCATTAAATGAAAGACAATACGTTTATTTCCAACAGGATGGTGCACCTCCGCACAATGCAAGAGATGTTAGTGCATGGTTAACGGAAAACTATGGACATAGGTGGATAGGAAATAGAGGACCAATACATTGGCCACCGCGATCCCCAGACCTTAATCCAATTGATTTTTTTGTATGGGGTCATATAAAACAGCTTGTTTACCGCACTGTCGCGCAAGATGAAAATGATCTCAGAGAAAGAATCCACGATGCTGCAGATGCAATAAATAATACAGAAGGGATTATGTTTGATGTCTATCAGTCGTTGGTTCGGCGATGCAGAGCATGTATAAGAGCCAATGGGGGTCATTTTGAACATGTTTTTTAATATTGTTTCATGTTAGTGTTATTTGTTATGTTGTTATTTACCGTTTTGTATTATTACTTAAAATTGTAAAAACCGTTTCTACAAACTATTACCTATGATTAGCATCTAAGATACAGCAATAAAGAAAAAGAATATTTCATTGTTTGCTGTTAACATTTTAACATGAAACGTTCCATTTTAATTTAATACATAATATTAAAGTAATATTACTTCTAACTAAAACTAAATGCTTTATCAGAAGAACGGCCTCCCACATTATTGAGATTTTCGGCAGAACGAGACACTTTACCGATTTCAAACAAGTATTATGCCAAATTGTCCAAGGAATCTAAAAATTTTCCCCAAATAAGTATTAGGTCATTGGCGTAGAAGTTGGGGCAAAAAAATCCCGCTACCCTACCCGTTTCTACGCCACTGACCTACAAAAAATTTGTAAATTTTGCAGTAAATTATAGACATTCGTAAGTATTAACATCATACCAGATTTGAATCAAATTGTTACAACCATACCAGAGATATCATAAATAATATGATGTAAAAAACCGACCAATACGGCCCTGTAGAGCGAAAACGGTGAGACATAGAACCTTGGTTTATAAGGCAATTCTTAATTACTTATCGAGTTCTATCTGTGGTTAAAATTTGATTCACTCGAACTGAAACACCCTGTATA